AGCAAGGGAAGGGGATTTTGAGGATAGAGGAAGCAGGGAAGTTCTGGTTCTGTGGGGTGTTGGTGGGGAGATCGTTCGCGGCGAGGAGGCTGCGGAAGTTTTTGATTTCGAAGAGGGTTTGGACGAAGGAGAGGGTGGTGGGGGTGGCCGGAGAAGAAGTAGACGAAGGAGAATAATACCTAAAGCATCTAGGGTTTTATAATTATAACATTACCAATTTACCTTTTTTGTTATTTTAGGATATAACATTAATTATTTAAATGATTGGCTCATATTGGTTCTCACAGTTACCACAAACAACTTAGTTCTCATTTGATTAAGCCCATATATATATATATATATATGTATATATATGTATGTATATATATGTATGTATATATATGTACGTATATATATATATATATGTATGTATATATATGTATGTATATGTATGGTTCTTTTCTTTGAATATTATTTGGTATAAATAGAATTATTGGTTGTGTTTTTTTTGTCGTGTTCAATGATTATATGCACATGAATGGTTATCTTTGTGTCTTGTAGTAGGGCCATGTCTCGTGGCTCACCTTTTTTAGACCCATAACATTTAGTTTTGGATTTTCCGTAAATGGTTTGACCAGAACCATTGGTACGAACTTTTTTGATTAAATTGACCCCAGAAAACGCATGAACACATGGGTTTTTACGTGGGGGATGATATGCACGTTGCCAATAATACTTCAAGAGACAAGTATCCAATAAGACCGTACCTAAAATGTTTAATATTAACTTTCATAATTCAAAATGAATGACCTTATGTTAGGGGTTGTTTACCTAAATGCTTACCTGGTAAGCGCTTATCGTTAAGAGTCAACACTATAATTTATTTTATCGGATAAGATTGTAGTACATCAAAACGTATATAATGCAACAATTTACCTGGTAAGCGTTTACCCGAGTAAGAGTCGTCACCTTCACTTACCGGGTAAGACTCTCCATTCTTATTATCGTTCTTACCGGGTAAGATTTTTGCCCTTTGCCATGTTCATCCGGTAAGGAAAATTGCCCAATAAGTATTTACCGGGTAAGCGTTTAGTAAACGGTCCCTTAATGTTACAGAGAATTTTTTTCAAATAGTGACGTCAAATTTGACTATAAGAGATAAATATCGGGATATTTTTTACAACATCATAAATGATCCACTGGTTAATTCATTGTTTTTCATATATGATGTATTGTGTTCAAGTCTTTTATTGCAAAAAAAAATTCAGAAATATAATAAATCTGTAATTAAAAGCTAAAAAGAAATATAACAAATATAGTGATAATTTTTCACAAAATCTGCATTGGTTTGTTGGTTAATTCATAACTTTTCATATGTAAGATCCTGTATTCAAGTCTTTTATCACAACTTTTTTCAAAAACATAATAAATTTGAAATTAAAAGCTAAAAACTAAAAAAATAAGAGTAACAGGATTTGAACTCGGGTTTAGGGTGGAAGGCAATCCTTGCAAACCAACACTACAAGGTAAATTTGTGTTCTTAGTATAGTTTCAAAATATATATAATGACACACAACAAATTGGTACAATGACATTATTCATGACCCTATAATTTTTTACACCACGACAGATGAACAAAAAGGTGGCCCGAGCCACCACATGCACCACTTGGGTCCACCCCCAGAATCGGACACCCACGATTTACGTAAAAAATTAGATTTTATATCAAGATTGTGACAAGAAATACAATATATTGAAATCTTGAAATGAATTCGATAATTTTTATATAGATGTTAGTAAATGTAATTTCAAAAAAAATTATAACGACTTAAGAAGCATAACCAGTTGCTTAAAGTCGGGAATAATGGAGTAATTTTATATTTTTTTGCATTAATAATTTGTTACCTGATTTTTTAAATCTGATTATTTATTTTAAATAATCAATAAAATCACAATTAGGGGTCGTTTACTAAACACTTACGTGGTACGTATTTACCGGAGAAATTTTCTCATCGGATGAACATGAGAAGAGTAAAAAATCTTACCGGATAAGAGCGATAAGAATGATGGAGAGAGTCTTACCCGGTAAGCGAGGATGACGACTCTTACCCAGGTAAACGTTCACCCATTAAATTGTTGCATTCGATTTGATATACAAAAATTTTACGCATCAAAATAAATCATAGTATTAACTTATATCAATAAACACTTACCGCATAAGCAATTGGGTAAACAGCCCCAAACACTTAAAATTCATTGTTCTGATTTGAAATAATAAATTTAAAAACAGGTATAAATATCCATTGTTTATGAGAATTTGGGCCTAGAGCCCAAACGGTTTCAGTTGTGGGTTGTGAACTTATGATGCTTATGGGCCAAGATCCACCACTATGTTAATTAAAATTCTCAACTATAAATAAATAAATAAAACATTTCCTATCTGATTTCATTTAACTTTATTACTAGTTAAAATATATGATATTTTATATCATTTTTTTTTCCTAAAAATTAAAACTAATTATATTAAATTATTTTATTCTCTTTCCATCCTCACGACTCCATCCGAATTCGTAGTTGACGTTGAATCTAAAGGATCTACTGTTCGATAAATACCTTTGACGGCTAATCCTCTAATAAGATTTGGGTCGCTCTCGGGGGGGTGATGGCATTGCCGAAGCTCCTTCCTTGGGTGTTCCTTTTTTTTTGCTGTTCAAAAAAAAAATCCTCTAATGGTACGATGGTAGCACCTAAATGTGCAAATGTTAGCACGTTCTTAGAGGAAGGATCACGCTTATCTCAGTAAAGTTTGATTGGTTTGAAGAGCTTCTCGAGATTCAACGATTGCAAATGATACAAGACCGAACCTCATTTACCCTCTGTTTTTAGTATCCACCCCACAATCCCGGAAGACGCCATACCCCGACAACGAAGATCCCACCTCACCCCATATCTTGTTTTCTCGGTGTTTCTTTTTTTTTTTCCCCGGAGATTGACCAAAGTAGCCAATCTCCACAACCAACTTTACTTTTTAGCCATTTTTTAAGGGAATTCTCAATTTGGCCAAATTTTACGCAATTGGGTAAGCTCATTTCCAGATTAAAAAGAAAGAAAGAAAATTTTATGCAACTTCCCATAAGGATCCACATTTACGTAAAAGATTTGCATAAAAATTCCCATCTACGTAAATAATTTTTTTTTTAATCTAAAAATAGGCTTTACGTAAATATGCATTATATATGCGTAAACTTGGACTAAAATTAGAACTTTGTTCTAAAAAGTGAATTTGTTTAGAAAAATGAGCAATTTTGATTTTGGGGTTTTAAACTCTCAATTCCTCCATTGAACACGTATGACGTACCCATTTCAAGATGTGAGAGAATTAAATAGATCCATGGCTGGGTGTGGATTTCATCATCACTCATCCAGCCGGCAGATTTTCACGAAATATGAACACAAGAATTCTTCCGACGAAGAATTTCATCTCATAGAAAATTTAAAATCCAGAAAGAAAATAAGGTTGTACGAGTAACAGTAGCACCAACAATTTCTTGTGTTTTAGAAAGAGATGATTAGGGTTTATTACTCTGCTTCTGAGCTTTTCTTCTGCTTCTCCTTTCTCTTGAGCTCAAAGACGTCCTGAATCCACCATTTTCAGAATCGTCGTCCCACTCTTTGTTCAATGATTTCTGCAAATTCATTGAAATCGAATTTTTTTGGAAATGGAGATCTAGAGACAGAAAGTGAATATCATTACCTCTCGAAGCTCGGAGAAGCTGACGACGTAAAAAGTAACGGCAGCTGCTGCTACAATTCCGAGCACCGGGAGACCGACTTGCTGTAATCCATCCATCTCGCAAACCACTTATTTTCTCTCTTACGATTTGGGAGGAACCTTCATGTGGCTTCAATTTGTTAAAACACTATCCTTTTACATTCGGCTAATTTTTTATTTTTTTTAAATATAAATAAATAATGATTTTTTCATTAAAAGTTAGTTTTTAATCAAGATAAATTTCAAGTGAAAACTCTTATTTATTACATTTAAAATCATTTTTTTTACAAATAATGAAAATTAACTATGTAGATCAAATAGATGTGTGTGTATATATAGCAGTGTTCAAATAAAAACTACTCATAATTTGTACAAATCGTGAAAACTACATTCAACCAATCATAATTTTTTATTTTGTTTAATTTTTTGTAATTATGAGAGGTTGGTTAACTATTTTTATTGTGGAGGGTGTTAATCATGGATATTATCGTCTTCATTATTTTAATTTTAGAGAAATACATGAAACGGTTTCATTAAAATTTCATTAAATATTATATGAAACAATTTCATAATCATATATGAAACAAATTAATCAAAAAAATATTATATGAAACAATTTCACAAGATTAAACAATTTCATGAAAAAATTTCATAAGATTAAACAATAAAATCGACGTATGATAATGGTTTGTACAGTTTGTACAAATGAAAGTGGTTTTCATTTAATCGCTCTTATATATATAAGCGATCAAATGAAAACCACCCTCATTTATACATGTTGTATTGTTCTATGGATAAATAAGTATGGCTTTCATTGCTCGAAAGACGTTACTTGTTATGTTATGTTCTTAAGATGTCTTGTTTGCACTTGGGCTGATGTGGGTGTGCTTTCAGAAAGTAAAATTATCGACAATTATTCTGGTACAGATAAAGAGATCGTGAAATTTTTCAATAACACCTGAAAAAATGTGGTTTTTCATATTAGTGATAGTTACTTAAGAAACTTGTCTATTGACGTCAATAGGTATTGTAAGAAAGTTTGGTGTGTGGCCTCGGGAGAGGGCAAAATGCCCAAAATAGCAATCTAATTTCATAAATTTCTTTATTATAACATTGTACTTCCAGTTTTTCTTATTACAGTAATGTACTTTCAAACTATTTTTTATTAGAACATTGTACTTTTAAAAATTTACCTATTATAGCATTGGGTAACCTTTTGATTTAAATTTAGTCATTATACTATTTTTTTCATGTCACCTCATTGTCCACCTAGGTTGTCCACATATACTATAGTTATATGAATTTCTTATTACATCATTGTACTTTCAAAATTATTTTATTATAGCATTTAATAGTTCTTATTAAACATTGTATTTTTTATTTTAATATTTAGATATTTTACATGTTACTTAATAAATATATTAAATGAATTAAAAAATCTAAATTATTCATTAATATACCAATATCAATAAAACTAGTAGAACACAACTTATCTCGCTAATATTTTTTTTAAAAATATGTGTTTTTTTTTAAAGAAAATAAAAATTGTTATTTTTTTACCAAAAAAATATTATCTTTTAAATAATATATTATATTTGTTCAAAAAGTTTACTTAACGTATAAAAATATTAAATTAATTAGATTTTTTTGAATTATTTACTAAAATAACAATATTAAAAAATTGTAGATCAGAATTTATTTCGTTAACATTTTAAAGAGAACTTTAAAAGATATGTATTTATTTGAAAAACATAAAATAAGAAGTGTTACTTTTTTTACAAACAAAATATATCTCGAAAATAATGTTTCATATTTATTTAAGAAATATTTTACTCCATAATACTTAATTTGCATGCAACTTGATAAGAAAAGGTAAAAAAAAATAAATGTTTTTTTAGATCATAACAATAAAAAAAATAAAAATCACTAATAATAATTTGAAATAAGTTTTTATTTTTATTTTAGTTAAGTCATCAAAATGATGTGTCATTCACATCACCTCATTAAAACCACACAAGTAAAAAAAGTCAAAGGATTAACCGGTTTAAAAGGTAACAAGTTAGTCATTGCTATTATGGGTAGATTTTTTAAAGTACGATACATTAATAAAAAATAATTTAAAAGTACATTGTTGTAATAAACAAAAACAAAAATAAAATATTATAATAAAAAAATTTATGAAAGTAAGTTGTTATTTCATGCATTAAACCAACTTTTCCATAGGTACACGAGTTTTCAATTAAATTCTTTAAGAGCATTTGTAATGGATAACAACTTTTCTAAAATAAAGAATCAATTTCTTATTCTCTAAAATATTCTAATAATTTTTGTATCTTATTATTTAATATAAAATATGATGGAGAAAACTTTCAATATAATTTTTTTTTCTAAAACTCTAAAAAGATAGAAAGAAAAAATAATTTAAGGAGGTGTTTGGGATTGCTTATAAAAGTTGTTTTTAAACTTATTTCAGTTTGGCATCGGTGATAAACCGTTTTCTGGTATTTAGATAAGGAAAAAAAAACTGCTTATACCGGTGCCAAACCGGTAATAAGTTGTTTTTTGATAAGTTAATTTTTCCTGACTTATGAAAAACTGTTTATTACCAGTTTACAATTTTTATCCTGTTTTATTTAAGTCCGGTTTGAAAACACATAAGTTAATAAGCACTTTTACAAAAAAACATAAGTTGTTTTAAATAAGCAATTCCAAACACCCCTAAATAAGCAATTGATATTTACTTACTACGTAACACTAATTATAAAACCAAAAGTAAATTCGATACAAAGAATTTAACATCAACCGAATATCATTGAAATCAAAACACCATCACCGGTGTGCCGCCACAACCACCCGCCACCGCTCGGAAGTCGGAACCGGGCATCGATTGCACGTTTTCACTTAGACTTAGAGGCATGGTAGTATTGAATCATGGTATATAACGTTTGGAGTAACGCAAGCACTAACAAAGCAAAGGCCGCCCCCGCTGAAATAGAAGCCCATGGGCTTTCAAAATATCTGTGCTTAAACCCGGCCCAAGTCACATGCCACCCATTCTTACAATACTCATTCACTTCTATAAACAACCCTTTCAAGTAATTATCCTTGATGTTAAAAGGAACATCTTTGCCAACGTGGTTGAAGAATTTCACAAGTTCTTTATCCGTCCCGAAGTAATTCTCGATAACTTTACTCTCCGAAAGCAAACCCACGTCGGCCGAATTGTTGATGAGCCATCCCAAGAACACAACATAAGTCGTGATGTCTTTCGAGCACTTGGAATAGCATTGCTCGAAAGCCATTCCGTTCAAAAAGAAAGAAGTGTAAAAATCGTCCATGGTTATTCGAGGGATGGAAAGAACCCCTTTTTTGAACTCGATATCTAAAAAGCTATCGGCTTCATGATTCTCCTCAAACTTCACACCAGCGACGACGAGCGTCGTCGCTGGTTGAATCCGTTTAAGTGAAGGGTTATTGGGCTTGTCAGTTCCTTCTATGGGAACCGGGTCTTTCCGTTTAAGCGAAGGGTTATTGGGCTTGTCGGTTCCTTCTATGGGAACCGGGTCTTTTATAAAGCTTTTTCGAAAAAAATCAAGTAAGTGTTTCCCTTCGAGTTTAACGTAGCGGTCTAACACCTTTTCCGGTCTATCGACTGTGTGATTGAAAAAGTCGAGTATTAAGGATGGAAGCTTACGAACATCATTGGTTCCGAATCGAGATTCATCAAACAGCTTTTGGATAACGAAAAATGGGATTTGGTTCTCGATCCTCAAGAGGTCTCTCAGCAAAAGCGGAGACATCCAAACCATTTTGAAAATGGGATCATCTTGATCGGTTGGAATCAACCTCCCAACTTTCCGGAATAATTCGATCAAGAAAACCCCATCAAGAACCATCATCTTAGCAAGATCATTGCTACCAATATGTTCGATAGATTCCGAATAGCTTTCTCGAATAGCTTTCTCCATTGACACTATGCTATATAAGAAAGAACTTAGTGGCTTACGTGTTCTTGATATTAAACCATGTAGGAACCTCCATTTATGTTCTTCGATCATCTGAAGATTCTTGCTTCCATGGTGGTATGGGCCGATGGAGACAATTCGAGGTTGATATGCTTCCTTGTTGAGCTCGACCAGACTTTGAGGGACTCTGAATATACAACAAGATTCATTGCCTGCAAATTTGTGTAGTAATTTTGGGGATTGTATCATTTGGGTGTTCATGAGTTTCGCCTCTTGGTCGATTGTGATAACATGATTTCGATTCATGTTTTTTGGGGGATGTTTATGATTGGAAACGAATGATTTGGAAGATGAAGATGAAGATATGAAGCAAAAGTTTTTGGGTTTTCAGCGTTGATTCATTCCATCAAGTGGAACGATGACGATGACGATGACCAAGACTTTACGCGTAGGTCCCAAGAAGCATCCAATTATTCACATTGCAATTTCCCAATTCTTTCTTAACAATTCATTCTGGTTTACAATTTTCGTGAATTTAATCATTTGAATCAAATTTGACCCCTTCTTATTATTTTGGATTGTTTATTTAAAATAACTTATTATTTTCTACAAAAGCATTTATCAACTTATTATAAGTCAAAAGGGTTTAACTTTTTCAAAAACTTCTTATCCGAACACTCAAAAGTACTTATTACTAGTGTCACACCGGAATAAGTCAATAAGTTGTTTTATAAGCAATACCAAACACCCCTTAGTATTTAACTGAAAATAAAATGCAATTATAATCACGATATGGACTTATTTGTTCGATTTTCAAAATTACATCAAACACTCTCAAGTTTGCTTTTCGTTCCGGATTTTGTGTCTCGCACTGACATTGGTTTCATTCAATCACTCTGATATGGGTTTTGCTTCGATTAGTCCAATTTGGCTTTTGTTGTTTCTTGTTGAACTCGGTGAGGAAGAGCAAGTACAATGTTTGAGATGTTACGAAGATGAACATCTTGCAAGACTTCGTTTTTTTTCTCGTGTATATTATTGAACGAAATGTGTAACAAAATGCAACATATAATGTGTGCGGTGTAATTTTCAAAGTCGAGTAACAAAACTAGAGTAAATTGTGGTTTTCGTCCAACTTGTATGTCAAATTTTGTAGTTCTTATCCCTTAGACATAATCTAATATAAATTTGATTCTAAATGATGCATTTGAGACCAGCCACAAACACCCGTCCTTCTCTTATCCGTAGTATAGTCAGGTAACCTTAACATGAAAGTATTATGGTTAAATCACTTAAAAATATGACATGGCATCTCAAAAAATGCATTACTGCTTAACTTGGTATAAATGTTCTTGAATTAGCACAAATCTGTTGAATATGTTCACAAAAGTTATTGAATAGCTGAACAACATAGTTTTATTCTTTAAAGATGTCAACTCATGATTAAGAACCGAAACAATTATAAAAATACCCTAATATAAGGAAAAAAATCATAATAAAATATATCAATCGTTACGAATTTCTACTGATAAAACCGACGTGCGAAAATACTTCTTTTCAAGAATACCATAAGATTGAAAATCATAATTTATCCTAGAGATAGGCCAAAAACCGATCCCAATCCGAGATTTTCCAATGTCAATGGGTCTCGATCCCGACCAATATGACTAACCCGTTCTTATGTACAAAGCCCGATCCCTAGAACCGGTAACGGGTCGGGCCAGATTTGGGCCCAATTTATTTTTCAAAAATAAAATTTGAACAATCAAAATCTTGTTTGAAGTTTTTTTGAACAATATGTTATTCATATACAGCTTAAAATATTTAATTGGGTTATTCAAGTATATTTTAAAAATCGTTTTATTATAATTTCGTTTTAATATGTTTTTACATTTTGTTTACATTTTTAAATAATTGTTATAATAATTCATAGACCCTAATTCATAAGTAAAAATCCTGAAAAACTTATTATCCAATTTATAAAAACTCGGCTTTTTTAAAATCTATATATAAGAGCCAATTTAAGCTTAATTTTCATTAAAAAAAAAATTAACCAATCTTGAGTAGAAGTCGGATCCAAAGAAAAGGAAATCAAGTTCTTTAGTGAGTCCATAAATGGTGCGTTTGGTACATTGGACAAGACATGGATCTCTGTCTCATGTTTTGCATGACTTTTATGTAGAACATACATGAATAAAGTGGAACAGACATGTTCCATCCTATTCCACGAAACAGGGAGGAACAAAATGAAACAAACTTATATTTTACCAACATAACCTCAAAATAAAACTTAATTTTCTTTTAAAACATCAAATAGGTCTCATTTTTACATTTTATTCATTCTTTAAATTTTATTTATTGTATTTTATGTTTCTTAAACTTTCACTTTACTGTTCTCAAAATATTATAATTATACGGTTTCTATATTTTTATTAGTTTATGTAATTTATTATATATTATTAATAAAAAAAAATAATGTAGAAAAGAGATAAAAGTAAAAATTGAAAACTACATAAACTTTTTATTTTGTGTCATTTTAATTGTTTTGACGAAAACTTTCAGATGATATAATCTGTTATAAAAAATAATTATTTTATTACAATTTAATAAATTACATAAATTGATTTAAATAAACAACTTAGTAGGGATAAATTGATCATTCTACTTATTATTTCTATCCAGTTTTATCTTACCAAACCTTAAACAATTGTTATATCCTATCATGTATTGTGATACCAAACACACCCAAGAGAAACAAAGTCTAGACTCTAGTAGAAGATTAATGGGCTAACATAAGGTGATAAGGCTACATCTAGAATAGAGATGGCCAAATGGGCCCGGCCCGGCCCGTAACCGACGGAGGACCGGGACCGGGACCGGAGAGGGATCGGGACCGACCGGGACCGGTAGGGACCGGTTGAAGGACCGCCGGTTATGATCCGGTTAGGGTTTTTGACGTTTTTTGGGACCGGGACCGGTTAAGACCGGGACCGGTTATGTAACCGGTTATAGGCCCGGCCCGGCCCGGCCCGGCCCGGCCCGGTCAACGAAAGTCAACGAAACGTATATATATAATAAACCGTATTTTTATTGTGTATTTTTAAACGTATTTACAACAAAACGTATTTATAAACG